GGCTAAAGCATTCCTAGAATCGTGGGCCAAAAAGGTCCATTTCCCCATCGTTGCATTGGATCTCGTTGTAGACGACTAGGGTCAGATTTACATGCAGTGCAGTAGAGAGTGGTTCGAATCTAATTACATTTTCCTGCTCGGTTTGCTCACCGTGAGAACAGAGCACCTCCGACCAGCAGCATTTGCATGACTACCCACGCGAAGACCACGGGTTGTTTTGTTTCACACTAGCAGCGTCAGTCTGCTAAATTTAAAAGTGGGGGACGGAAGAGGCGTAGGGAACGGGCCGAATTAATCTCTGCAATTTTCTAAACATTTTAAGCCATTGATCCCTTAATCTCATTGTAAGGAATTAAGAGAACGTCATCCTTTTGCCAGGAAAAAAAAAAAGGAGTTCTCAAAGGAATTCTGCAGCCAAAACAGAACAAAAAAATGAAAGCCAACACCCTCAACTTTGCTGCAGCCAACATTCCCAGGAAGAATTCCCACACAACCAGAGGCAGCTGACGAAATTTTGTCTGGGCATTCTTTCAAGAGCCCTACCGAATTGAGCCAAAGGGCGATCCGGCACTGCCTTGTGTTCGCAGAGTGGACAACAAGATACCTCCCGGAAGCCCACCATCAAGAAAGGAAACACATTCCATTTACATTTCCTCAATCCAGCCCACCCTACACTAACGGGTTTAGAGAGACAGACCGCACCTGATCCAGGAGAAACCATATAGCCAGAATGGCTAGTTGCCTCTGATTGCATTAATCTCGCCAACCTGGATCATCTCCTTTTAAAGCCACTGAAACTGGTGGTCATTCTTACATCTTGTCGTTCTTAGGAAGGACAAACGGCAATTCAAGTGCAGCTGGGCAGTGGACAGTTTTTTATAGCGCACATCCGGTGCCTCTTCTGGTGTCATGCAATAAGCATGGAAGAGATCCTCCAGAAAAAGCAGGTATTTTGTCACCTCCTGCACAATGATCCTGTAGGGCAGTTGTTCTCAACTTTAGCACTCCAGATGTCCTTGGACTACAACTTCCAGAAATCTGGCCAGCACAGCTAGTGGCGTAGGCTTGTGGGAGTTGTAGTCCAAGAACATCTGGGGACCCAAGGTGGGAACCCCTGCTGTAGGGTGAAAAAAACGGTAAACTGAGATACAGCTCTCACCTTTCTCCATTCAGACCTGAGATGAAGATCTTAACCTCCAGGTAAGTACAGAACAGAACAACAACCCCTTCAAGTCTCCAGGAAAGCTGTTTTGTCAAGAGAACAGGCTGGTCATCACAAACACTCTTTTCCAACAACACAAGAGGCGACTCTACACATGGAAATCACCAGATGGGCAATACTGAAATCAGACAGATTATATTCTCTGCAGCCAAAGATGAAGAAGCTCAATACAGTCACTAAAAACAAGACCTGGAGCTGATTGCAGCTCTGATCATCAGCTTCTCATAGCAAAACTCAAGCTTACACTGAAGAAAGTAGGAAAAACCACTGGACTAGTCAGGTATAATCTAAACCAAATCCCTTATGAGTAAACAGTGGAAGTGAAGAAAAGATTCAAGGAAATAGATTTGGTGGACAGAGTGCCTGAAGAACTATGGATGGAAGCTCATAATATATAGCAAGGAGATACAAGAGGGCCTTCTTAAATGAACAATGCAAAGAAATAGAGGAAAATAGTAGAAAGGGAAAAACCAAAGATCTGTTCAAGAAAATTGGAGATATGAAAGGAACATTTTGTACAAATATGGACATGTTAAAGGACAAAAATAGTAGGGACCTCACAGAAGCAGAAGACATCAAGAAGAGGTGGCAAGAATACACAGAGGAATTATACCAGAAAGATCTGGATGTCCCGGACAACCCAGACAATGTAGTTGCTGACCTTGAGCCAGACATCCTGGAGAGTGAAGTCAAGTGGGCCTTAGAAAGCATGGCTAACAACAGGCCAGTAGAGGTGATGGCATGCCATTTGAACTACAGTATTTAAAATCTTAAAAGATGATGCTGTTAAGGTACTACACTAAATATGCCAGCAAGTCTGGAAAACTCAGCAGTGGCCAGAGGATTGGAAAAGATCAGTCTACATCCCAATCCCAAAGAAAGGCAGTGCCAAAGAATGCTCCAACTATGGTACAACTGCACTCATTTCACAGGCTAGAAATTATATGCTCAAAATCCTACAAGATTAGCTTATATGCAGAATACATAATGTGAAAGGCTGAACTGGATGAATCCCAAACCAGAATTAAGATTGCCGGAAAACTGTCGGCACAAACACTTAAAATATATGAAAACTGAACTTAAGTTGCAAGCAAATTGTAAAGTCAGTATTCATTCCAAAATACAGGAGCAAATGTACAAGAAAATATCCAAAAAGAATACTTTCAGTTACATTCTAAAAATAGAAGAATTTATAACCTTATAAGGCACATTTGAAAACAAAAGACAGAGAATATCTTAATAAAAAGCATTACAACTTTAAGTAGCCTTACTTAATAAGCATGGAAAAAATATCAATATTGTTTAAAATATATAAAGTAAAATGCATTACTTGGCTTCTAACCATGTTAAAAACAAATACAGAACAATTTTAAATGCTCACTTCAACCAGCCAAACAATTAAAGTCTATAGAGGAAAATCCATGCTCATTTTTAGTCGCTTTTGTGTCCATCTGCTCTGCTACCTTATCTGGTGTGTATAGTGTAGTGTGAAGCTGTCTTGTTATGAGTTGAATACCTTGTTTGTATGTACTGTCTCCCCATATATATAACTCTTTCATTTGTTTTCACTTCCTCCTTATCCATAAACAAACCTTATCTGCAGAGTTCGAAGAGCCTGTAAGTCCAGCAAATGTTTTCCTATGGAAAATTCTATTGTTCCTGCAGTCTGCGTGTCTCTAGGAGTCTGCAATTTCATATCTGGCTAACCAACATTATTATGATTTTCATCATTGCTCTGGCTATTGATTTTACAAGCTCTAGAATATCTGTAATTACAAGCACCTAGAGTAGACCAACAAATCCTTATTGCATCAACAGTCCATGGAATTTCAAGTTGTCAGCTTCTTACTGCAGACTACATAGACTATTATGATCGCTAGTAGGGTATACTGCAAGACCTAAAAACACAATTTTCATATTTTCATCAGAAACAATTCTACTCATTCAATTCAATTGAGTTTATTCAATTGAACTGAATGATGCATGAAAGGGAAAGACATTTAGTTTACTTCCACACTAAACTGGCAGACATGAATTAAATTCTTCAAAGCAGTGTTATCATATCATTGACCTTGTTCCCAGGCTTAGCTGGAAAAAAGCCGATTGTTTTGAAAACAACTATAACTAATGTAAACTGTTCCCCAAGCCATACTTTTAAACGTCTTTTCATTCCGAGGGGAACTTTTCTGCACCTTCTTTAATCATTTCGAACACCTTATTGGCTCAAAATTTCATATGTTGAGACCCTATACAGTGAACTGGAAGAATCTAATCGGGATGTACAGGGTTTGCGGGGTGGGTAGGATAGTGCAAAATAAAATCTCTGTGCGCCTGGACTGCTGATGCTTCACATACTCCATAACTGGTTATTTTGGGAAGATGAGATGCAACACAGAAGTCCATATCATGTAACCACAGTGACTTAAGTTACTGGAACGCAACAACTATCCACACCAGCAGAGGTCCTGGGGATCTCAGCTCAGTTGGCTGACTTCATTAAAGGAAGGGAGGGGGAAGAGATATATAAGGAGGTGTCTAAGGTGCATTGCTGCCATTTGTGAGGTTGCATAAGAATCTCACCAACGTCACCAAGGTGATTTCTTAGAATATACCACGAGAATGTCCTTGGTTACCAGCTTGCCTTGTAGAGATGCAACATTCAACATCCCACAATTGCCCGGCGGGATGACTGGATGGAACACAGCCACCCAAGAATTCCGAGGGGAAAAAAAGGCAACCCAACGATGTAACTGAATAAAAAAAAAAGCAACTAGATCAGGCCTGGCCAGGGCACGGAGCAGAGACAGGATTTTCACAGAACTTAACAAGTTACAATAAGCTTAACATCTGGCAACAATGGTGTAGTGGAAGCTACATGTCAAAAGCAACACAGCTAAAAACAGGTTAAAAGCATGAAAATACTCACATTGTACATATACAGAGTGATGAGTATCTACATGCCATACTTTACATTCATGTGTGACCTATACAGTGCAATAAACACCTATATTAAATAACGTTTTATCCTTTTTCATGCTGATGGAGAGAACAATTGGTCAAGGGGAAGCATTCTGCTCCAATCTCCCCCTGCACTCATCTCAAAGTTTATAAACCAAAAGTGGCAGGCTCTTCTCCAGCCATGAAATATTTGCACAAAGACTCATCAATTCAATTACAGCTCTCAATAGTGCTCTTAGACGAGAAACACCCTTTGGCTTTGAAATGAGGACAGTTTAAGACTATTGGGGGGGGGAGGGGGAGGAAGAAAATAAACCCCTTGGGCTTCTGTTGTTTTCAGTGCCACAACTACGTTTGCAACTGCCTTGCACGCGTGTGTGCGCGCACACACACACACAGGTGTCAAATGCACATTGTAAGCTCCTTGAACTTAGGCAAAATTTTCGATCCCAGCACATATAGAGGGAGCTAAATCAATACTGTACTCAGAAAAGAAGGGAAATATTTCATGCAGGATGCAAGTGTGCAAAACAGCAAACCTAACAATTACGCTGAGCAAAGAGATGTCCTTAGCATCCGAACCAACATTTTTTTAAAAAAATAGATTTTTTTTCACTAAAGTTTCATAGATGTTTTTGCAAGAGATCAAGTGACACAAGTTATATACATACCAAGCACAAACATGCTACAGAAAGAAAGAAAACACCACAAAAAAGGAAGAAGGTGTGTGGCCTACCCCAACATCAAGATAAATCAAACCACATCCACATAATAGGATTGCACCATCCTCTCACTTCCCAGTGACATCCGGCAGATTTACCTTGCAGAGCAATGTGCATGCAATGAAACAAAGCATTTCTCCATGAGCACCTCAGCTTGGACTGCGTGGCTTGCTGAGAAAAGCCTGGCGTATTACATAATTCCGCAGTCCGCGCAGCCCGTGGAAAGGAAGCCCTTTCAGAAACAAGATGCCTACCAGCCAAAAGTGCAAGCCTAATTCTGGGAGGGGGCTGCCCCGGCAGGCAGCGACGACAGCAAAATGCCCAAAGCTTGGAAGCGTTTAGGGTGTTGTTCCCCAAAACTGCCAGCCAGCAATGTAATTTTTTTTTCTTTGCAAGCTGTGAAAACATCCCGGGAAGAGCAAAGACACCACACAACTAAACAAACAGGACAATGTGAAGCAATGCCATTACTGCCTGGGTGAGCACAATGCGAAACCTCACCAATGACAGCTGGTTTTTTTTTCCTGAAGGTTTGTCTGATAACAGTTGCCAAGTCAAATAAACATCCCACCCCATACGCGCCTTTCGCAACTATCTCCTGCATGGCTCCCAGACTGTCAGAGGAAAATGGATTTGCTTGGTCTCTACTATGAAGCTTTAGTTTCATCCATCATCCTAGGGCTTCCCGTTGCAAAGCGGACGTATCCGACAGGACTCATGGGTTGGTAAGGTAAAGGACCCTGAGACATGCGCGGGAGGTAAGTTTTAAAACAAATCATCATCTGGAAACAGAAACACACAATTAAGGAGAGGGCATCCATGATCTCCTTAATATTCGTAAACTGCGAATAGAAGCCTTCCTGGGGCCCACGGATGAGAAACCTGAAAAGAGAAACATAATCTAGGCAAGGTCTATAAACACGCCTACCAATAAATGATTAGCACGTGTATCAGCAGCAGGAAATGAGCACCTTATGGACAAGGAAATCCACAAACGATAACGCAAGGCGTATCTAATTAGGTCATTAACCATTCCTTAAAATAAGGTATTTTCCCTTCCTTTTTTTTTTACAGATAAGAAACACATTTTAACTCAATCTGCTTTACGACTTTAATTCTGAAATGTAGACTTCAACAGGTCCATGTATTTAGTCTGCATTTCATGTTAAATTTGTTTTCTTTTTTTAAAAAAAATATATGGGGTGGAGACAAAGAGCATGTAAAGGATCTACATTATGATGGTGTTTTTCCACTCTGATTCAGTTCCCTAGACTTTAAGGCCTGAACCTGCCAGGGAAAACACAGATCAGCACAACCACACAAGTGGGTTCTCCTCCATCGGACTGTACTTATACATGCTTGTGCAACCTGCACAAGGGACAGCCTGCTGGTGAGGCAGTTTTTCCGTAAGGAGATGCCGACTGAAATGTTTTTGGCCCCACTAGCAACAACTGGTAATCCTCTTCCTCAGATGCATAGGACTGGGCCAGGCAAATTATAGGCAGGGAGCCTATAATTGCATTAATGTATTGTATTAAAGAGCAACTAGAGGTTGAGGCAGTACTGCATGCGCTTAATAAGAGCGGCTGGATTTCCAATTTTCCGGAGTCACTTTTATAGGGCGAGTCCCTAACTGGGTAAGCTACTCCATCTTTCTTTCCATGGCGAATTTTCTGTGCTAAGGGGGGGAAAAGGCAGAAAAAGCAGCGAGAAATTACAAGGAGGTCAGAAAACAGAACATCAGGACATCTTGACTTTTTGTACAATTAGGTTAATTAGAAGGCCATTGATACGTTAATTAAAGCCTGGTCTAGCGGTTCCCAAAGAAACGACAAAAAGTAATTCTCTGCTGTGAGAAGGAGTCACGAAAAACTCAGTGCCAAGGAAAAAAATGGATTCTACGTCCTCCACCCAAAGCATGAGTTCCTAGTCTTCGCACGCATGAAAACCCACAGTTTTGTAGCAACACAACCTGCAACGAAGTGGTTTCCCTCTTCTTCTTTTTTGAACACACCACCTCACATAAATCCTGACACCCAAACCTCCATCGCCCTCCCAAAACAGGAAAGTTGCTGTCCGGTTCTCAGCCAGCCTCTTCTGCTCCCAACCGTCCGACTCTCGCTCCGGCCCTCCCTGTATCTTGGGTAAAGATCGGACCGTGACTTACATCAGGTTGGACATCTGAACGGAGATGGACATCGGTACAGACCTCCTAAAAAGAGCGAACTCATGAAAAGGCCAAAGAAAAGCACATAATCATTGAGCGGCGATCGCCGAAGAAAGAAATCCACTAACCCCGAATCCCACCGGCTGCAAGAAGACGAATCCGGCCAGGAGGCTGGGAATTAATACTCGTTACGAGAGCCCTGACGAGGCAGGAGGAGCTGTGAGTGACATTCGCAGCTGCTCTGTACCAGGGCTCTAAGCCAGCAGACTAGGCACAGGATAGAGCCAGAATTACCGCTTCTGGACTACAAATCCCAGAATGCTGGCCGAGGGATTCTGGGAGGTGTAGTCCCAAACCCAGCTTTTCTCCGCTCTGGGATGGGGAGGGTCTCCTTTCATTCATTGATGAACCAGGAAGGGAGGTGGTGAATAACAGAAGGAGGAAGCTGCCCAGGTTCAAATCCGGGCAGATGCCTGTCTAATTCCATCTTTTCTGCGTTGGCTGGCCGCACTTCCTCAGATTTTACATCATGTTGCTGCTGCTGCTGCTGTAATTTTGAATGCAGCCAAGTAATTTCAAACGCGACCGTGATCATGTTTCCAACATGTATGAGATGCTCCAAGAGTGTTTTATTATTACCACCCTAAGTGATTTGAGATAGCTGAATGGGGATTTGAACCCAGGTCACCTGAATCTCAATCCAGCACTCTATGCACTACAAGACACTAAATCTCACAACTACTTACATTTAAACTACTTATACACTATTTACATTCAATAATGACCTGCCAAAGCAGGTCAAGTCGAGAAAGTGACCGGGGGAAAAGTTCTCCCGTGAGTTTCATGTCTCAGCAGGGACGAGAACCCAGAACTCCAAAGTCCCATTCCAACACGCTAACCACTACACCATACTGTCACGGTCTTTCGCCTTGCCTGTTACCTGATCCTTTTACGCCGAAATGTCAGGGATCAGAACCTGCGATCTCCTGCATGCAAAAGAGATGTTCTGCCACTAGACTCCGATCATGTGGGGTTTGAAAAACAAAAATTGCTGTGCAGGATATGCGGAGGCATCGTGACCATCAGCCTTTCCAGCTCCATAATACAGTACTCAATAATTAAAATGCATTAGCAGAGGCAAGCAGCCAAAGACATAACTTGGTTATTTCAACTCAATACGAGATTCCTTGATTCCGTCGCTTCCTTGTCTACCCATTTCCCATTTTCCTTCCTCACTGGGGTGGGCTTCCAGAATATAACCTTCCTCCATGCAAAAACCTGTATCTTCGTGTGCTTTTTTTAAAACACACAAGCGAAATCCAGACATCCTGAAGACTGGATAATAAACGGCTTGTGCTAGACCAGTTAATTCCGGGAAATACTGTATATTACGTGCTATTTTGTGCAGCTCCCTATATGTGCAGAAGCACAACAGAGAGAGAAGATACGCCACGTGACTAACACGGTGAGGCTGTTCCAAAATGACAGCTTCACGACATCTTTGGAGGGGGAGCAAATCTCTCCCTGCCAAAAAAAAAAACAAAAAAAAA